CGGGGGCGACTGCGTGCGCGCGCGCGTCGGGGCGCGGCGTGGGGGGAGGCGGTCGGGACTCGCGGAGTCCCCAGGCTGTCGCAGTGGAGAAAGACGGGAAAATCGTGCTGGGCGGCGGGATTCCTAAGCGGTCCCGCTCGGCCGGGTTGCGGTGGAATAACCGCATTTAGGTTCATTGAGCCAGTACAGCAGGTAGTGATAATAGGAAAGAGGTCTGAGACCAGATCTCCGGGGCCCTGCATGCCGAGAGCAAAGGAGCTGGGGGTGGTTCAGAAGCCGTTAGAAAAAGAATACTGTAATTATATTTGGGTATGTAATACACTCACATGGTTTGGAATTCAAAAGGAATAAGGAGATAAAGGAATAATTTTTTGCACATGGGTAGTGTTTTAGAGGCAAAGAGTTGGAAGCAGACAAGTGGAGCTGAACCTGACCATTAAGAGAAAGGTGGAGTTTTGTTTGCATATCTGCTTAATTGTTGCTATTCACTATTTTATTTTAAGTCATGCAGGAGTCAGTCGAAGTGTGGCTGTAATGACTGCTTTTCTGATGAAGACTGACCAACTTACCTTTGAAAAAGCCTATGAAAACCTCCAGACTATGAAACCAGAGGCCAAGTGAGTTCTTTGCTAGAGTAATTATTCTGCTTTTGTGGTGTGATTTTATTTATTTAAAGAAAACGTAACTTTGTATTTGTTTGTCTTTACAGGATGAATGAGGGGTTTGAGTGGCAACTGAAATTATATCAGTCCATGGGGTGCAAAGTAGATACCTCTAGTGCAGTTTATAAGCAGTATCGTTTAAGAAAGGTTACAGAAAAGTATCCAGGTAAGTAATAATTGCTAGTACGTATTGGGACCTTTCTGGATGCTGTACACTCTGACACTAAACACTTCAGGTACATTATCTCACTTTCCCAGCAATCTCTTGAGACAGATCCTTTTATTTCCTTTTGAAACTGCTTAGCAAGAAATAGCTTTTTCAAGGTCACATAGCTTATGAGTGGTGGTGGACTGGTTATTGAAATCAGGCAGTCTCTGCCCAGAACCCAAGGGCTCTCCTGCCTCATCCTGCTTTTTCAACACTGGATGCCCCTCC